TGCTGCTGCTGCTGCTGCTGCTGCTGCTGCTGCTGCTGCTGCTGCTGCTGCTGTTGGTGCTGCTGATGCTGCTACTGTTGGTCCTGTTGGTGCTGTTGATGCTGCTGCTGTTGGTGCTGCTGCCACTTCAGCTGTTGGCTCTGATAGCGTCGCTGCGGCTGTTGATTTTGCTGTTGATGCTGGTGCTGCTGTTGTTGCTGCTGCTTCTGTTGCTGTTGCTGCTGCTACTGATTGTGTTGCTGGTGAAGAGCGCGGGTGTTGATTTTCTTGCTGTTGCTGCTGAAGCTGTTGCTGTTGCTGGTGTTGCTGCTGCAGCAGTTTTTGTTGCTTTCGCTGTTGTCTTATGTCCTGCTGCTGCAGCAGCAGCAGCAGCAGCAGCAGCACCTTGCTCTGCTGCTGTGCTATCATTCCCATCCGTCTTCATCTCTCTTCCTGCTGCTGCCTCCACTCCTCCTCGATTAGTGCCGCTGCAGCTGCTCTGCTTTTGCTGCTGCTATTGCAATATTTGTTGCAATGTTTCTGTTCTTTCTGCTGCTGCTGCTGCTGCTGCTGCTGCTGCTGCTGCAGAGGGTCCTACAGCATATTTCCGTATAACTGGAGTGCTGCTAGCTCAGGAGCTGCGGGGCGGAGGCTGCAGCTCTTCGCATTTGCCTGAATTAATTTTAAATAACTTTAAAACAGCGTTGGGTAGAAGAGTAGGCAGACTCATCGGCAGCCTCTTCCCTACGGTGCGCTCCTCATGCTGCTGCTGCTGCTGATGATGATGATGATGCTGCTGCTGATGATGATGCTGCTGCTGCTGATGATGCTGATGCTGATGATGATGCTGCTGCTGCTGATGATGCTGATGCTGATGATGATGCTGCTGCTGCTCATGCTGCTGCTGATCATATTGCTGCTGATGATGATGATGCTGCTGCTGTTGATGCTGATGCTGATGATGCTGCTGCTGCTCATGCTGCTGCTGATCATACTGCTGCTGATCATGCTGCTGATGATGCTGATGCTGCTGCTGCTGTTTATGCTGCTGCTGATGATGCTGCTGCTGATGATGCTGCTGATGCTGCTGCTGATGATGACGCTGCTGCTGTTGCTGCTGATGCTGATACTGCTGCTGATGGGAATGTTGGTGCTGATGGTTCTGCTGCTGGTACTGATGCTGATGCTGCTGTTGCTGCTACTGATGATGATGTTGCTGCTTCTGCTGCTGCTGCTGCTGCTGCATCAGACACCTGAGTTTACGGGTCGGCGCATAATAACATTTCACAACCAAAGAGATTTTATTTTCTTTCGTCATCACCGCTATATCTTTCGCGAGCAAAAAAGGCTGAGGCCCCCTCTAGACCTCTCTTCCCTGCAGCAGCAGCAGCAGCAGCAGCAGCAGCAGGAGCAGCAGCAGCAGGAGCAGCAGGAGGAAGAAGAAGTGCTGCCTATAAACCCTAAAGTTGGTGCTGCGCTGCAGGAGATAGGGCCCCGCTTCACTCTGAAACTGCTGTGGCTGCATGCGGGGCTTTTCTCTAATAAAGAGGGTTTCTATGAATTTGTTTGGAGGCCTGACCTCAAGGTTGATAGGAAAAAAATGCTTATTTAAAACACAATACTCCTGCAGCAGCAGCAGCAGCAGCAGCTGCTGCTGCTGCTGCTGCTGCTGCAGATCCTGCGGTTGCTGCTGCACCTGCTGCGGGGGTACTGCTGCACCTGGTGCTGGTGCGGCTGCTGCTGCACATGGTGCTGCAGTTGCTGTTGCAGTTGCTGCTGCAGCTGCTGGTGCTGCGGTTGCTGCTGCAAGCGCTGCAGCAGCAGCTGCTGCTCCTGCTATACTTGCAGCGTTTTTAGGGGACGCAGTTCTCTGCCCATGTGTCGCGGGGGTCGCTGCTGCTGCTGCTGCAGCAGCAGCAGCAGCAAGACGTGCTGCTGCAGCAGACATTGTTTTTATTGTGAAGATATTTCTTTTGGCAGTAAAGGAGACAGGCAGACACTAAAGGGAAGCAAAATGAATTCTTAATCTGCTGCCCTCTAGCTAGCTAGCTAGCCAGCTAGCTAGCTAGCTAGCTAGAAGGGGGGAAGCTGCTGTTTATTATATTTAGATCTGCATAGTAGAAAAATATAAAACTGAAAAAGGACAAAAAAAGATGCGTTCATGAGGCCCTGCTGCTGCGTTGGGCAACTGATCCCAGCAGCAGCAGCAGCAGCAGCAGTTGGCAGCGATGTGCTGCTGCTGCACAGAGGAGACTGCTGCAGCTTCGTGCAGAGCCTATTAGCTGTTGTCTGGATAAGAAGTGTCTTCACGCTGCTGCTGCTGCTTCTGCTGCTGTTATTGCTGCTGCTATTATTGCTGCTGTTTTGGTTGTTGCTGCTGCTTCCTTGCGGAAGCAAAGAAGTGCTGCTCATTGGCAGCAGCAGCAAACCTGTGTTGCTGATCTTGCCGTTACTGCTGCTGCTGCTGGTGTTCGTAGTCGTCCTCCTGCTGCTGCTGCTGCTGCTGCTGCTGCTGCTGCTGTCTAGTGGGGAAGCGACTCCATGCCTCAAAGGCTTCAACAGCCACAGTCTGGGGCTCAGCCATCGCTCCAATACCTGCAGCAGCAGCAGCAGCAGCAGCAACAGCAACAGCAGCAGCAGCAACAACAACAGCAGCAGCAGCAACAGCAGCAGCAGCAGCAGCAGCAGATGAGTTCTTTGTTGCTGGAATGCTATAAAGAGAAAGAGAGGAAGAAAAAGAGACAAACAAAACACGCAAAAGGAGACAGAAGAATATAAAATAAAATAAAAGAAGACAAATAAAATAAAATAAAATAAGACAAAAGGAGACAGAAGAAGATAAAATAAAAGAAGACAAAAGGAGACAGGAGAAGATAAAATAAAATAAAAGAAGACAAAAGGAGACAAAAGGAGACAGGAGAAGATAAAATAAAATAAAGGAAGACAAAAGGAGGCAAAAGGAGACAGGAGAAGATAAAATAAAATAAAAGAAGACAAAAGGAGACAGTCGCCGCACCGACATCTCCGCAGATCAGGCGTTTGCAAATAGGGGGAATCACCTGCAGCAGCAAATAACGAGACTACTTGCGGTGTACGTACACTGCAGCAGCAGCAGCAGGACCAGCAGCAGCAGGAACAGCAACACTTGCAACAGCAGCAATACCAGCAGCAGCAGCAACAGAGGCAGCAGCAGCAGTGACAACAGCAGCAATAGGAACCTCAGCAACACCATCCATACCCGCAGCAGCAGCAACAGCAGCAGCAGCAGCAGCGGGAGCAACAGCAGCAGCACGTGCAGCGGCAGCAGCAGCAACAGCGGCAGCAACAGCTGCAGCAACACCTGCAGCAACAGCAGCAACAGCAGCAGCAACACCTGCAGCAACACCTGCAGCAACACCAGCAGCAACACCAGCAGCAACAACAGCAGCAACAGCAGCAGCAGCAGCCTACAATGGCTCCAAAGAGTTCAATTTGCTGTATTTGCTGCTTAGAGATCGGGTGTCTCCACATCTCGCTGTTCATTGCAGGGGCGACAACCAGCGGTTTGCTGCTGTAGCACCACGCGCGGCACACGCAGCTCTGCAAGCAGCAGCAGCAGCAGCAGCAGCAACAAAAGAAGCAGCAGTGAGACGCATATCGAGAGGTACAAGCTATGAAAGAGCTACGAAGAAGCTGTGTGCTGCTGCTGCTGGCTGCTGCAGCGCCGCAGCACACTCAACACACTAGACTACGTGCAGCAACTGCAGCTCCAGCAGCAACAACAACAGCAGCAGAAACAACAACAGCAGCAGCAGCAGCAGCACCAGAAGGTCATCACAGAGGCCGCAAGACATCTTGGCGAGAGTATTTGCGCTGAGGGGAGCGATAATAAATATATCTGCCCAACGACGCAGCTGTACGTACACCCCAGCAACAGCATGCAGCAGCAGCAGCAGCAGCAGAATTCAGCAACAGCTGTGCTGCGCTGCCGCTCAAGCAGCAAAGAGACCGGAGACAGCAGCAAAAACAAAAACGGAAGGCACTACTAGGAGCAGCCAGCAGCAGCAACAGGTGCAGCAGCAATCGATGATGCAGCAGCTGCAGCAGCAACACCTGAAGCAGCAGCAGCAACTGCAATTGCAGCAGCAACTGCAGCAGCGCCAGCAACTGCAAATGCAGCACCACCAAGTGTACTAACTGCAGCAGAAGCACCGGAAGCAACTGGCAACTACAGCAGCCGCACCAGAAGCAACTGCAGCAGCAGCAGCAGCAGCAGCAGCAGCAGCAGCAGCAGCAGCATCAGCAGCAGCAGCAGCAAGACCGAACCTCTATATGCAAGACAGGGTCTCCTCTTTGCTTCCATGACTTCCACTCTTCGGTGTCTCTGCGAGCGCGCTGCTGCAGCGACTCCGATAAAAAATGCAGTGCCTTCTCTGTTGCTATCAACTCCACCTGCAGCAGCAGCAGCAGCAGCAGCAACAGCAGCAACAGCAGCAGCAACAGCAGCAGCAACAGCAGCAGCAACGGCAGGAACAGTCCTAGCATAAAAATAAAGAGACAATTATTCATAGTCCCCCGCAACTGCAACCAATAGCAGCAGCAGCAGCAGCAGCAGCAGCAGCAAAGGCAGCAGAAGCAGAGCAGCAGAAGCAGCAGCAGCAGCAAGAGTAGCAGCACCTGAGCAGTCAACCCCTTGGCTGCTGCTGCTGCATGGATTTCTTTGATGAGTTCTTCTGTCTTTATTGTGGCGACAGATCCCGTTACTCCCAGCAAAACCCGCACAGTCCCTGCAACCAACACCCTAAACCCTAAACCCTAAGCCCTAAACCCTAAACCCTAAACCCGAAACCCTAAACGCTAAACCCTAAGCCCCAGGAAGAGAAATGTGGGACGCAGGGGCGAGTAAGAAGGGCTGTTTAGTGTTCGGCCGCTGGGGATAGTAAGTAGGCTAGAGTTAACGGTTTAGGGTTTAGGGTTTAGGGTTTAGGGTTTAGGGTTTAGGGTTCTGTTGTCTTGCCCTGTGCTGCCTGGGATCCATTCATCTTCCCTCTTCCTTCATTGGCTTTAAAGCAGTCGTGCTGCTGCTTCTTTTGCTGCTGTTGTTGCTGCTGCTGCTGTTACTGCTGCTGCTGTTACTGCTGCTGCTGTTGCTGTTCTTGCTGCAGTGTCGGTGGCGCTTCGCTGCTGCTGCTGCTGCTGCTGCTGCTGTTGCAGGATATTTTTTGTCTTTTGATTTTTTAATAAATAAAAATAAAATAACATTTAATAAATAAATAAATAAATAAATCGCAGCTTCATCTGTTTATTTTTCTGCTGCTGCCCTGTGGGGCCCCCCAGCTGTACGCCTCTCACCGCAGTCTTCACAATTAATATTATTTTATGCATTTGTTTGCATGCGTTTGTCTTATTAAAGACATTCCTTTGCATGCATTTTTATTAATAATAAACTTTAATTGAATGGCGCTCAGTGAATTAGCGTGCAGCAGCAACTACAGCAGCAGCCTCAACCGCTGCTCTTGCTGCTGCTGCTGCTGCTGCTGCTGCTGCTGCTGCTGCTGCTGCTGCGGCTGCTTTAGGCTGGGGCTGCTGCGGTGTATCTCCGCTGCAGTGTTTGCAGAGGTGTGGGGCCCTGCAGCTTCCGAGGAAGGATATTAACAATGAAGCAGGCAGCAGCAGCAGCAGAAGCAGCAGCAGCAGCAGAAGCAGCAGCAGCAGCAGAAGCAGCAGCAGCAGCAGCAGATGGCTGCTGACAGCATCGCCCAGGCATGCCAGCCCTAGCTAGCTAGCCAACACCCTAGCTAGCTAGCCAACACTCTAGCTAGCTAGCCAACACTCTAGCTAGCTAGCCAACGCTGTAGCTGGCTGGCCAGCCCACTGGATATCTATGTAACTCACTGGCTAGCTAGCTAGCACAGTAGCTAGCTAGCCAACACTCTAGCTAACTAGTCAACGATGCCTTAGCGGTGGGCTGCTGGCTAGCTGGTTAGCTGGCTAGCTGGCTAGCCACAGCCCATCTCGTGGGGGTCTCTGCATCCAAGTATGAGGCAAGCTGTAGCTAGCTAGGGCAAGCTGTCGCTAGCTGTGGGCAGCTGCAGCTAGCTGAGGAAGCACGTAGCTAGGGGCTCGGGTGTACAGGCAGCTTTTTGTGTTTTTGTCTGTCTCCTTTTCTGTTTATTATTTGCTGTTTGCATCCAGGCAGCAGCAAACAGCAGCAAACAGCGGCAAACAGCAGCAACTCCACCGCTTCACTTAACTACACTCTTCTTGCTTCCTTCTGCATGCGCTGCTGCATGCACTGCTGCATGCACAAAGCCCCAAAGCGAGATAAAAGCGAAGAGAGACAAAGACGCACAAATGGACGGAGTCTCTCTTTGTTGATGTCTTTGAGTTAGTGCTGCTTTAGTTAAATATACATAATACATTTAAATATATATTTATAAACATATCTATACACATATATGTTTTAATATATGCATTTATATATATATATATATATATATATATATATATATATGTCTGTATGTATGTATAATATTTATATGCATGCACGTGTATACAGAGACATGCACATACACACCTATTTATTAAATATATATATATAATATTATATATATATATATATATTATATACACAAATATATAAATATATATTAAAATCTATTTATATATGTACATACAAATCCACAACAATACACAAAATGTATTTACCTGCAGCTCAATGAAAACAGGCGTAGCATCTGTACATACACCTCAATATATATATATATATATATATATATATATATCTGCATGCATGCAGCAAGACGTGCATGCATCCACATACACAAATGCAAACACATAAACGCGTGCGGAGACAGAAAAATTCACTGGGCTGTATAAATAAACAAATTTATATATATATATATATGCATATATATAAATATATGTATAAATATATAGATATATATATATATGCATATATATATATATATAACTATACTTATTCATCTATATAGATATATATATATAGTTACATATATATATGTAAATGTATCTATACATACATAGATGTATATGCATGTATATATATATATATATATATATATATATATAGATAGATTGATAGATAGATAGATAGATATATAGATAGATATATATATATATAGATAGATAGATAGATAGATAGATAGATAGATGCATACATATATATATTCCCGTATCTACAAATATATGCACAAATATATATATATATATATGTATATATATATATATGTATATATATATGTATATGCACATATATATATATATATAGATTTGTGAAGGTGTATATTTATGTGTATGCAGAGAGTCATACACATAAAAGAAAGGGGCAGGACGAATCAGCCACCTGTCTGAGCCCAACCCCTAAACCCTAAACCCTAAACCCTAAACCCTAAACCCTAGCAAGACCCTTCACAGATCTTCAGGCGCAGCCTGGCGACCTCCTGTTGCCCATCGGAGACAGCAATCTGCAGAGGAGACAGACGGAGACAGGAGGAGACAAATAAATAAATAAAATGAATATATAAATATATGCATATATATGAATGTATATACATATTATAACATATATCTTCTCCTGTCTGTATAAAGAAAAAGAGATTGGAGTGTATGCAGAAAAACAAAGACAAACAAAACCCTTAAACGAATGCATGCAGCAACACAACAAGAGGGCTATGTATATAAATGCATATGTATATATATATATATATAGATGTATATATGTATATATATATATATGAATAGATAAATATAAATATAGATATATATAATATATAATATATATGTGGGTGTATGCATGTATATTGATATACATATATATTTTTACACAAACAGAGACACGAGCAAGAGACAGCAGCAGCAGAGACAGAAAGGAGACAGCAGCAGCACAAAAGAAGAGACAGCAGGCAGAAAGAGGAGACAGCAAAGAGACAAAACATAAAACAAACAAAACTCACAGTAACTCTGTCTGCTGGGGGGTATCTGAAGACAAGCTTGTCTTTCCAGGTGTCTTTGCTGCTGCTGCTGCTGCTGCTGCTGCTGCTTCCCTTCTCCTTCTTCTCTCTGTTGTCTCTTTTGCTTTTTGTCTCTGCTCTGCTGTCTCCTTTTAAATCTGTCTCTGCCTGCGCTGTCTCCTCTTCACTGTCTGTAGCCCAACGCAGCAGCAACGAAGAGGGGTCCCCAGGCAGCTCCAGCCGCAAACGAACAGAGACAGGCTCCTCTTGCTGCTGCTGCTGCTGCTGCTGTTGACGCTGCTGCTGGCGCTGCCGATGCTGCTCTTGCAGAGCCAGCAGCCGCTGCTGCTTCTGCTGCAGCTGACGTTCTTCTGCCCTAAGTGCGTCTAGCTGCTGCTGCAGCAGCATCTGCTCCTGTAGCTGCTGCTGCTCTTGCTGCTGCTGCTGCTGCGACCGCTGCACACAAACAGAGACAAGACTGCAGCAATCTAATATACTGAGGGAAAGGGACAGAGACAGCAAACAACAAGTTGAGAAAGGAGACAGAAGGAGACAGAAGGAGACAGAGGCAGACACCACGCTTGGGTCTATCTGCTGCAGGAGGCAGCAGATAGAGACAACGATACTGCAACAACTCACACAGCCACACGCGACGTGCTGCTGCTGCTGCTGCTGCTGCAGTTGGTGGGCCGGCTGTTGCTGACGTGGCTCCTGTGCTCTCTGTAGTTGCACCAGACGCCGCTGCTGCTGCTGCTGCTGCTGCTGTTCAGGCTGCTGCTGCTGCTGCAAGTGACGGCCTTTATGTATGGCCTGGGGCTGACTGAGCCGCTCCCAAAAAGGAAGCTGCTGCTGCTGCTCCTGCTGCTGTTGCTGTTGGTGCGACTTGCGCACTGCGCTGCGTGGGCGTGCTGCTGCTGTGGCTGCAGCTGCTGTGGCTGCCGCTGCTGCAGAATGTGCCCTTGGGGTCGGCCGCAGCTGCGTGTCGATGCGTCTGCTGCTGCTGCTGCTGCTGCTGCTGCTGCTGCAGGGGCTAGCGGCGTGTCCCCCCGTACAGAAGGAGAAGAAGCGCTCCTGATAGAGCTGCTGCGGGGATAAAGATGTGCTGCTGCTGCTGCTGCTGTTCCTGCGCTGCTGCTGGAGCAGCAGCTGCCGCTGCTCTCGTCGCTGCTGCTGCTGCTGCTGCTGCTGCTGCTCCTTTAATGAGTGCCTTAAGGAAAGAATAGGCCCTGCGATTGTGCCGCCAGCTAAAGGAGACAATATACCCGCAGGTGCCCGTTCGTACACTGCAGCAGGAGCAGCAGCAGCAGCGGCACCTGCTGCTGCTGCTGTTGTTGCTTGGGGTGAAGCAGCAGACACCTCGCGCTGCTGCGGCTCATCCCTGAATCTAACCTGTTGGCGAGGGAGTGAGGAAAGCGCTGCAGCAGCGAGAGTTTGCTGCTGCTGTTGCTGCGTAAGCTGCTGCTGCTGCTGCTGCTCTTGCTGCCACGTAGGAAGCACCTGCGATTCAAAGGGTTCTGGCTGCTGTTGCTGCTGTTGCTGCGGCTGCTGCTGGCGTTGCTGCTGATGCTGCTGCTGCTGGAGCGGTTGCACAGCCTCCTCCGCCATCAACTTCCGTAGCCGCTGCAGGACAGCAGCAGAAGAATACCGATCCTGTTGCTGCTGCTGCTGCTGCTGCTGCTCCCGCTGCTGCTGCTGCTCCTGCTGCTGCTCTGAGGGCCCTTCTAGAGCAGCTCTGAGAGCAGCAATTCGATGCTTCAACTCTGTCAGAGAGGGACAGGAGGCGAGCCGCTGCTGCAGCGAGTCAGGTGGAGGCTGTCTCCCGTGCTGCTGCTGCTGCTGCTGCTGCGGGGTGGGCTGCTGCAGCGCTTCTCTCTCCACTGCAGCAGGCATATTGCCCCTTGCAGCAGAAGCAACAGGGAGACAGCCGGACGTGCTGCTGCTGTACAGGGATCTCTGGGGAAGCTGCTGTCTCTGCTGCTGCTGCGGCGGCAAGGGCCGATGCTGTTGCTGTTGCTGCTGCTCCTGTTGCCGGAGCAGCAGCAGCTGCTGCTGCGTGCTGTCGTGGGGTTGCAGCTCCGGGCTTGCTGACAGAGCAGCAGTACTCTGTGAGCTCCCAAGCAGCAGAGATGATTGCTGCTGCTGCTGCTGCTGCTGCTGCTTCTTCTTCTCTGGAAGGAGAGGCGACGAGAGGTGTAGTTGCTGCTGCTGCAGCGCTGCAGCAAACGCAGCAGCAGCAGCTTGCAGCTGAGGAGACAGCGCAAATTCATTTTCGAGGTCTGACAGCAACAGGGGACCTCCACTAGGTGCATAGGCGGCGAAGGCATCCGCTGCTGCTGCCGCTGCTGCTGCTGCTGCTGCTGCTGATCCTGCTGCAGGTGATGCTGTCCTGGTTGCTGGAGAGGGCTGAGACCCCAACAGTGTCTGCGTGGGACTGGCATGCTTTCCTGCTGCTGCTGCTGCTGCTGCTGCTGCTGCTGCTGTGGGTTCAGCTGCACCAGAGTCATTTGCGGCATCCTCCTCCCCCTCAGCAGAAGCAGCAGCATCATCTTGCATGTCCGCAGCAGCAGCTGCTGCAGCAGCAGCAACAGCTGCAGCTGCCTTGCGATGAAGCTTCTTCCCTGCTGCAGCAAGCAGCCTATCTGCTTCCCCAGTGAACTCCCCTGGCAGCAGCAGCAGCAGCTGCCGCAGCAGCAGCCGCGCGTGCTGCAGCTGTCCTCCAAAGGCTGCTCGCTGCCGCCTCATTGCTAGCAGCAAACCGTGAAGCAATTCAAGCAGACGCTGAGCTGCTGCAGCAGAGATCTGTGGCTGCTGCTGCTGTTGCTGCTGTTCTTGCAGTGGTGCTGCTGCGAAAGGATGAGCAGCAGGGGAGTGGTGCCACGACTCTGCTGCTTCTGCTGCTGCTCCTGCTGCCGCTGCTGCTTCTGCTGCTGGCTCTGCTGCAGCAGCTTCTGCTGTTGCCGCTGCTGCTTCTGTTGCTGCTGTTGGCTCGGCTGTTGCTGCTGCTTCTGGTGCTGCCGCTGCTCCTGTTGATGCGCTGCTGCTTTGTGTCTCGCGCTCTGCTGCTGCTGCTGCTGCTGCTGCTACTGGGGAGTGCATAGCGCAGGGAGGAAGCATGCGAGCAGCAGCAAGGACTCCTTCAGGTGTATAGGCAGCTCCCTCCTGCTGCAGTGCCTCGGAGAGAATGTCTGCGCAGCAACACCTCTGCAGCTGCTGCTGCTGCTGCTGCTGTTGCTGCTCTGCGGCTGATTGCTTTTCCGCTTCGCGGTGCTGCTGCTCTTGCTGCTCTTGTTGCTGCTCATGCTGCTCTTGCTGCTGCAGCAGCAAACTTTGTTGCTGCTGCTGCGTGTGCTGGCCTTCGGGCTCATCTAGCAACACCCCTTCGTGCTGCTGCCGTTCCTGCTGCTGCTGCTGCTGCTGCTGCTGGGTGTAGTCCTGCTGATTGCCCCCCATTTTCATCAGCGAAGCGCGATGGCTGTTGCTGCTGCGGCGTGTTGCTGTTGCTGCTGCTGCTGCTGCTGTTGCTGCTGTTGCGCTGTGTGTGGTGAGATTGCTCCTGCTGCTGTTGCTGCTGTGCTGTTGCAGCTTCGTCTGATTATAGATAAGGGCTCTACCGGGTTGCTGCTGCTGCTGCTGCTGCTGTCCTGGTCTGTCTGGTTGTCGAGTGGAGCTTGTGGCCTGCTGCTGCTGCTGCTGCCGAGCAGCAGCAGCAGCAGCAACAACAACAACAACAGCAACGCTGCTGAGCACAATAAATGCAAAAGAAAATATAAGAAAAAAGACAGAAGAAAGGCAGACGCCTTCTGCTGCAGCAGAAGACAGCTCGCTAGCCCCTGGGCCTCCTGGGAGTCCCTCCCGCTGCTGCTGCTGCTGCTGCTGTTGCTGCTGCTACTTTTTGTGTAGCTGCTAGTAGATGAACTGAAAACAATAAGCAAAATATCTTTGTTTTGTTTTGCTGCTTCAGTGCCGGCTGCTGCAGCTGCTGCAGCTGCAGCGCGCCCTATGCGCGGCGTTTGAGCTGCAGCAAGCAGGCTGGAGGGACAGGACTGCTGCTGTTGCTGCTGCTGCTGCTGCGGCGCCTGCTGCTGCTGCTGCTGCTGTAGCTGCTGCTGATGCTGCATGCGCTTAAATGTGTCTGTCTTTCATTGAAAACTCTAAAACTAAAAGAAATAAAATTATGTTTTAAGGTTTGCAGGCTGCTTGCTGGGCAGCGGCGAGCAGCAGCAGCCCCACGTGTTGAGGCCCAGCAGCAGCAGCAGCAACAGCAGCAGCAGCAAGTAGGAGCGACTACTGCCGCTACTGCTGCTAAGCTGAGGAGCGGGCTGAAGTTGTTATGGTTTTATGTGTTTCTTTGTCTTCTATAATGAAGCTCTCACTGCACAGATAGCTGTCTGTACACCTCAAGCTGCTGCTGCTGCTGCTGCTACTGTGCTGCAGCTGCCGCTCCGGCTGGTCTTCTTCTAATTTGACTGCTGCTGCGTCTTCCTTGTCCTTGAGATCTGCTGCACATGCTGCAGCTGTTGCAGCAACAACAGTAGCAGCAGGACGGAGACGGAGAGCAGCGGCTTCTGCTGCTGCTGCTGTTTGCCCGTCGTTGTTGCAGCTGCGACTGCAGCTGCTGCTGCAGCTGCTGCAGCTGCTGCATCTGCAGCAGCAGCAGCAGAGCGCGCAGCTTCTGCAGACGTTTGCTGCGCATGTGCTCCTGAATATTTACTTTGGCCCCAGGGCCTCGCTCTCTCCGCCGCAAGCCCTAAACCCTAAACCCTAAACCCTAAACCCTAATCCTTGACATAAAAGCCCTTGGCGCCAGTAGCTGCGTCAAATAACGCGATAGCGTGCTTTTACTGCAATGAGAAGAAACAGAGACAGCAGCAACAGCAGCAGCAGCAAGGTAACAACGCGAATCCTTTGCTGCTGCTGCAACGACCGCCACAGGAGCAGCAGCAGCAGCAGCAGCAGCAGCAGCAGCAAAGCGCTCGCTGCATGCGGCTAAGCCGCTCAGTGCCCGCCTTCGGAGCAGCTGCTGCTGGCAGGACCGCAACACCACCAGCTGCAGCAGCATCCCCTGCAGCAGCAACAGCAGCAGCAGCAGCAACAACAGCAGACTCCTAACCCTCCGCTTCTTCTAACCAACGAAGATGCCTCTACCCACAGGAGAGCGTCGGTCAGTTGCGTAAGTTGTGATCCTTGGTGCTGCTGCTGCTGCTGCTGCTGCTGCAGCTTCTCCCGACAGTGTTGCTGCTGTTGGTGCCGCTTCTTGTGCTCCTCCTCTTGCGGCTGTTCCCTTGCTGATAGTGTGTCTGCTGCTGTTGCTGCTGCTGTTGCTGCTGCAGCAGCAGCAAGAGCAATAGACTGTATGTATGCATGTGTGTATATGTGTGCTACCCAGGGGGCCCCCCAGCAGCGATTCGCACGTAGACTCTGTAGCGGGGGGGGGCCCCAAGCCTCCTGTTCAGGGCCCTCGTCATTTTGCTGCAGCCTTCACTAGGGGCCCCCCGAACCCTTCTGCTGCTGGAGAGGCATGGACCCCTTCAGGGGGCCCCCCACACTGGGGGGCCCCCTCAGAAGGGGGTACCCTACGTTGGCGTGGGGGCCCCCAAGGCGCTGGGGGGCCCCTAGGGGGCAGCCCTATCATAGGTATTGAAAGGGATGGAGGGTACTACACAGAGACAGTTAATCATATGTTAGATGAATGCACTGATTCAGCAGAAGGGGGGGCCCCCGGGGGGCCCCCCTCTTCAGACCCGCTAGGGTTGCTGCAAGACGAAAGGGATATGCTGCTAAATAGAGGCAGGGGGGCCCCTGGGGGCCCAGGGGGCCCTGGGGCCTCTGGAGACAGTAGCAGCCTTACAGGGTATTGTGCTTTGTCTCAAGATCAGGGGGCATCTGCTGCTGTAGCAGCGCAGTTAGCAGATACTGCAGATCGTCATTCGTTTGCTGCTGCGCTGCAGCACCACCAGCAGCACCAGCAGCAACAGCAGCAGCAGCAGCAACAACAGCAGCAGCAGCCGGTGCTGCAGCAGCCGGGGGCACGGGTCTCCTTCGGTCGCCTTGACTCTATCTCTTCTGCTGCTTCACAGGATTCAGGGATAGGGGGCCCCCCTGGTACTGGGGGCCCCGGGGGGCCCCCCGGTGTCCCAGGGGGCCCCCCTGCACCTCGCAGCAGCAGCTCAAGCGAGGACAGCAACCAGCTGCTGCTGGGGCAGAGGCCGAGCCGTTACATTTCAATTGCTGCAGTGTCTTATGGAGGAGCAGCACAAGCAGCAGCAGCAAGAGAGGAGGGGACAGAGGTGTGGGCCCTCGGGGAGAAGGGCCCCTTCGGTCAGAGGGCCCGTCTGCGTCGACATGTTATAATTCGAATACACAAAGGCATTCATCAAATACTAGAGCTGCAGGTAGCTGCTGCTCTCTGTCTCCTTTGCTGTCTCTGCTGCTCCCTGTCTCCTTTGCTGTGTCTGCTGCTCTCTGTCTCCTTTGCTGTCTCTGCTGCTCTCTGTCTCCTTGGCTGTGTCTGCTGCTCTCTGTCTCCTTTGCTGTCTCTGCTGCTCTCTGTCTCCTTTGCCGTCTTTGCTGCTGTTTGTCTCCTTTGCCGTCTTTGCTGCTGTTTGTCTCCTTTGCTGTCTCCACTGTTGCTGCTGCTGCTGCCGCTGCTACTGCTGTTGCTGCTGCTGTGGTGTTGCTGGTGCTGCTATTACTGCAGTTCGTGGTGCTGTTGTTGCTGCTGCTATTGCTGGTTCTGCTGGTTGTGATATTGCCGCTGCTGCTGCTGCTGCTGCTGCTGCTGTTGCTGTTGCAGGTGGCGGAGGTGCTTCGTTTGCTTCAGGCGGAGTGTATAGACAGCACTCGGTCTCGTGCATGCATATTAACGTATAGGGACTGTCGGCAGGCGTTTACTGATGTACACCCTATTCCTTCAATTGAAATAAGGAGACATGTTATTTTAATTTGTCTCCCCCCTATTACTTGCTTCCTTCTTAAAGACACTGTTTATCTGCTCGTTACTGAAGACCTTAAGGCTGACGAGCTTATCTTTCAGCTGTGTAGACTTACAAAGTATTACGCTCACCACCAGCAGCAGCAAACAGCTCCTCCTCCTGCTCCTGCTGCTGCTGCTGCTGCTGCTGGTTGTCCGCCCGCTCCCCCTCCTGCTGCTGCTGCTGGAGGTGCTGCTGCAGTAGGAGTAGCGAACGAGCAAAACTCTGCTGATAAAATGCAGAGAAGAGACTCCTATAAGACAATTCCATTCAGACACCCCCAGCTGCAGCAGCAGCAGCACCTGCAGCAGCAGCAGCAGCAGCAGCCGCACCAGCAGCTGCATCTGCAGCAGCAGCAACAGCATCAACACCAGCAGCAAATTGGTCTGTCAAAAGACGCAGCTAATCTCGGGCACGTCCATCCGCTGCAGCCAGCAGCAGCTCAGAGAGACAGCAGCAACATTAACAACAGCACCGCGGTGCTTCCGGGCTCCTCTCCTCAACCCCTGCAGCAGCAGCAGCAGCAGCAACAGCAGCATCAGCAGCAGCAGGTCTCTGGGGGCCCTACTCAGAACTCTTCACAGCCACCCAAGGTTCCAGGGGCCCTGAGGGGCCCCCCATCGGGCCCTTCAGTGGGGCCCCCTGGGGGGGCCCCTGTGGGGTCTCCTGTGGGGCCCCCTGGGGGGCCCCTGGGGGGCCCCGGTGTGGGGGCCTCCGGATTGCCTCAAGGGGTCAGCGCAGGGGCCCCCTCTGCTGCTGGTGGGGGCCCCTCAGGTGAAGGGGCCCCCAGCGGAGACTGGGGGCCCCCAGTTTTAGAAGGTGAAGACGCTGTAAAAGAATTACAAGCTGAAGGGGGAGGGGGCCCCTCTCGAAGCTGCTGCTCTATGAGCAGCAGCAACAGCCACAAGCTGCCGTTTGAGTTTGCTGCACTGGAGTGTATATTTTTTGCTGCATTTCAGCAGCTAAATGCAGGTTTGTTCTGTCTCCTATTTACTTGTCTTTGTTCGCCTACTGTCTCCGTTTGTCTGTCTCTGTCTGTCTCCTTTTGCTTCCTCATCTTTGCTGTCTCCTTTATTGTGTTCTCTGCTGTCTTCCTGTCTCTACCTCCTTTTTTGTCTCCTTTCTTTGTTGTTATATAATATATATATAATATATATATACCTGTCTCTGTCTCTAAATAGACATAGTATGTGTCTCCTTGTGTATTTCTTTTTGTCTCTGTCTCTAAATAGACACAGTAAGTGTCTCCTTGTGTATTTCTTTTTGTCTCTGTCTCTAAATAGACATAGTAAGTGTCTCCTTGTGTATTTCTTTTTGTCTCTGTCTCTAAATAGACATACTCTACCTCGAGGGTAAATACAGCGAGGCACAGCACAGGACACGCACAAAGGGGGAGTTGCTGTCTCTATTGATGGAAGACCTTCACGCTCTTAAGGAACCCATTTCGCTCTATCAGGTCTATAAACCCTAAACCCTAAACCCTAATTTACACGCTCTAGGGGCCCTTCTAGGGGCCTCTTCGGGCCCCCTTAGGGCTCTCTAGGGGCCCCTCTACGCATCTTTAGGGGGCCCTCTAGGGGTCTGTGGGGGCCCCTCTACATACCTTTAGGGGGCCCTCTAGAGGCTTTTGGGGGCCCCCCTAGGCATCTATAGGGGGGCCCCTAAAGGGGCCCCAGGGGACCTCTGGGGGCCCCTTTATTTGTCTCTATTGGCGTGATGTTGCTGAATCGGTTGTCTAGATGCAGAGCGAAGAGAGGAGATTAAATTAGACAGGGAGAGAGAGACCCATTCTAAAGGGTTTAGGGTTTAGGGTTTAGGGTTTAGGGCTTGTATGGGTTTTGTTTGCAGGACAGAGTGGATGCGTTTGATAAGGCATTCGATGAACTGATCAGCAATAACACCTATCTTCAGCGAATGGAGTTATCTAAATACGCTAGACACCCCAACCTCTATGAAGAGCCCGCAGACAAGGCAACTAACCCTAAACCCTAAACCCTAAACCCTAAACCCGAGGCTTGCAGCTCCATTAGCCGCATCTCCAAAATAGAATCTTTACTCACTTTATTACCCTCCTACTCCAAACCCCTATAATACCCCCACCTGCAAAATATCATGTCTTTCTTGCTGTTGCTGCTGCTGCTGTTGCTGCTGCTGTTGCTGTTGCTGCTGCTGCTGCTGTTGCTGCTGTTGCTGCTGCTGGTGCTGTGGATTTTCAGGAGGCAGTTAACCCGGACCTTGAAATTTTGCTAGAGTACTTCGACCAGGAAATAGACCAGGTGAGAGTCCAGGGTTTAGGGTTTAGGGTTTAGGGTTTAGGGTTTGAAGTTCAGCTTGTGTGTAAATACCTCGCACTGATAATAATGTGTGCAGTTCCCGTGTCTGGGCACCAAGTGCATCATGACGAGGATTTAGGGTTTAGGGCTTAGGGTTTAGGGTTTAGGGTTTATGGTTTAGGGTTTGGGTTTATGCTTTACCGTTTAGGCATTATGCTTTAGGGTTGAGGGTTTATCATATAGGGTTTAGGGCTTAGGGTTTAGGGTTTAGGGTTTAGGGTTTAGGGTTTAGGGTTTAGGGTTTTTGCAGTTCAAGATCCGGGTGCGGCATTTAAAAGGGTCTATTGAAGACAGCGAGAGGCTCTTGACTTTGCGTTTGGCGGTTATGCGAAACTCTCTAATTAAATCTGAGCTTGCAGCAACTTTGTTGGCTGCAGGGCTCGCTGTAGGCACCTCCATATCCGGTACCAAACCCTAAACCCTAAACCCTAATTAACCCTAATAAACCCTAGTATTAACCCTCATTAACCCTAATAAACCCTAATATTAACCCTCATAAAATATATAAACCCTAATATGAACCCTAATAAACCCTAATAAACCCTAGTAATAACCCTAATAAACCCTAATAAATCCCACCAACGAACTGCACACACACCACGCTGTCCATGGAGCTGAACCCTAGTCACAGGCGATTGCCCTCCGCGGTTTAGGGTTTAGGGTTTAGGGTTTAGATCTAAGGCCTGGGTGGGGGTTAAGATACAAAGCCTTAGCTTTTATACTCTATTAATGGGGTTGAGGGTTTAGTGTTTAGAGTTAGGGCTTTGTCGCTGATATTGGGTTGCGGGGAGTGTATCTGCTGCAGCCGCGTGCTCGTAGGTGGAGGGTTTAGAGTTTTTAGGGTTTAGGGTTTAGGGTTTAGGGTTTGGCGGTTGGGGTTTTTCAGGGATTTTTGGGATGAACCTGCAGAACGGAAATGAAGAGGGGAGCAGCAGCCACACGATGTTTATTTTGGTGTCATCTGTCATTGCATTTACTGCTGTTTTGTCTCTCCTCGCTGTCCTTTATCTCGTAAAAACCATCCGACTTTGACCTGCTGCTGCTGCAGCTGTTGCTGCTGCTGCTGCTGCTGCTGCTGTGGGGCTGGCAGCAGCACCAGCAGCAGCAGCAGCAGCAACAGCAACAGCAGCAAGCGAAAGAGCCCGCCGGCCGGGCAGCAGATTCTAACGCCTGCCCATATATTAGTAATGGCTACACAACAGATGCAGCAGTAACAGTAGCAGTAGCTGCAGCAGCAACAGCAGCAGCAGCAGTAGCAGCAGCAGCAGCAGCAGCAGTGCATTTCAAGGGAGACCTCTCAAGCGAATGCGCTCATCATAGTTGGCAGCGTTTTGCTTCTAGGGGGCCCTAGGGGGCCCCTCAGTTACATGTCCTGGTAAACCCTAAAATATTTTGAGGGTTGGAGGCCCCGATGAAAACAACTGAAGGTTTATGCAGATGCTGTATGAAGCTCGAAGAGATATATCAGACAGTTTCCCGCAAACCCTAAACCCTAGTAAACCCTAGGCCCCTTGCTCAAACCCTAAACCCTAGTAAACCCTGG